ATTAAAACCTATACATATCTTATTCAATTTTTCAATTAAAAATTATATAAAATTAATAATTAATAGATATAAGAAAACAGTTGAAACAAGCAATGAAACAATCAATTATCTTGAAAAAATAATATCATTTAATCTTAAGAAATATTAAGAAAGCTTCTACATCAAACCTTGGAAATCTATAATTCATCACAATACATATAAAAAAAGAAACAAATCATATTATCTTAAAATTAAAAAACTAGATAAAAGAATTTTTTTAGAAATAGTTGATTTATTACTATCAATCATAAGAAATGATGATATTGTCTTTTTTGATTTATTACATTTAAAAATAGTTCTCATTTTCAATAATTTAACTATTTAAATATATAAATATATCTTTTTTACTTAAATTTTAAATAAAATGTATTTTTATTTTTTATTTTTGTTATTAATACAAAATATCTCTTCTCAAATTTATACATGTATTCTATATAACACCAATGAAAATATTCTTCAATATGTAAAATCAAATTCTTACAATTATATGCAAAAATATATTAATACAATAGAAAGTCTGAATAATAATATTGCTAATATTGAATATTTTTATAAAATTGTGAATAATCCAAATAATAATAATATTCAAAATAATAATTATGATACATTCCAAGATTCTAATTAATATAATAATCTAGATAATTTTTATGAAGAATATTGAATCAACATGTCATAAATGCGTAATCTATAATGACCATACTAAAACAATCAAGAATACACATCAAAAAATCTATCAAGTTGTCAATATCCAGAAACTAAAAATAATTTAAATAGACTTTTCAATATTATATAAGATTATTATCTTTCAGAATATAAACTAATGTCATCACCTGTATATCTTCATAGTGTTAATAAATATAGTGAATATATAGACAATCAAAATTTTAAAAATAGAATATTCATAGAAAAAATATCATATGATAATTTTAAAATAATGTTAGAAAATGATCAAAAAAATATTATAGATTATTGCGAAGTGGGAAAATATAAAAAAATGATCAATGATCATGAACAATTAAAAAAAATATAATCTTGAATTATATACAATATGAAATGATATATGTAAAAAAATGAAAATGTGAATACATAACAAAGAATTTTTTTTTACTGAATTCATAAAAAATAATAAAAATCCAAATTATTTAATGTATAAAGGATTCATATATAATTCTTTAAGAGATAAAAATATCATAAATGAATTAGGTGAAGAAAAAATTATAGAATTAGAAAAAAATTATTTAGAAACTTTAGAAAACCTAGCAATAAATTGGTTTGAATAGTGGAGATATTTACTAAATAATCAAAATAATTTAAATATCATTGACAATTATTGGATATATAAAAGTATTGAAGAATTAAATGCAAAAACAAATGATAAAAATTTTTACAAAATAGTTGGATTCATGTTTATTAAGAATCTGATAAAATGTAATCAAGAACATGAAAATATATGTGTAACTGAAATAATCTAAAAAATCGAATCTGAAATTGATTGCCAAACATTAACTACAGATAGATTATATGATTCATTATTGAAAAATAAATATTTCATTAAATTGGTCAATTTCAGTATTAATGAAATAAGTGAAATATATTATCATATAACAAAACAAAAAAATAAATTAAGAAAGCCTTACATAGTTGATTTTATCATTGATTGGTTTTCAACAAATAATAGATTTGAAAATTTCTTAAAAAATGGTATCTACAAACCTTTTTTCTGGAATGATTTAGAAATATTTGATAATGATGAAAAATTTATCAAAAATAAATGGATGCAAAACATAAACAGATTAATAAAATTAGAAGAAAAAACAAACATGAATCAATAAATAAAAAGATTATTAGATATATCACTTCTATTAAAAAATAATCAACTTTATTTTCTAACATCTCCTAATCTATTCTCAGATTATTTAAACTATAAAAAAAAATTACGTGAAGAATATATTAAAGATAATAATCCTATTGCAAGTTTAATTAGATTATCAAATATATCAGATGATGCTAAAAAAAAATTTGAAAATCAAAGATTGGAAATATTATATGGTAAACCTATAGAGTATGAAATACCTAAACCAAAACCTGAAAAACAATCTGATAGTTTTGGAAATAATTTATTCAATGAATTAAAAAAAGAAATAGAAGATGTTAAAGAAAATAATGCAGAAAAATTAAAAGATTACGAAGATTTGGAAGAAAAAATAAATGAATCAAGATTATCAAATGATAAAATTGAAAAATTACATGAATTGAAAAAAAATAGATTAGCTAAATTCACAAATAATAAAATCAAACAATTAGAAAATAAAATTAAAATATCAAAAACTGAAAAAATATGGATGATATATTTAATGAATTATACAATGATAAAATATTATTAGCTCAAGAAAAAGATAATATTACAATATTATTTCAAAATAAATTAGAAGAAATCAGAAATATTAATGAAATTAAAGAAGAAATCAAAAAAATTAATAATGTAAAATAATTACTTGATAAAAAACTAGATGAAAAAATTAAAAAATTAAATCTATCAAAAGATAATATCAAAAAAATGACAAAAATATTAAATAATAAAATATCTTCTATCATTGAAAAAACAAATAACAAAAAAGACCTAAATGATTTGAAAAAGATAATAACAGAACATAGATTATTATCTAACAAACAAAAAGAAATTATCAAAAATAATATAAATAAAAAAATAGTTGAAATCAAAAAAAATTCCAAACCAGAAAAACCTGATTCTAACAAAGAAATCCTTGTTAAAGAAATAGAAAAAAATATAATAGAAATTAACAAAGATAATGTAGAAAAATTACTTGATAATGAAGATATAGATAAAAAAATTCAAAATTCAAAATTATCACCTTCTAACATCAAAAAATTACAAGAATCAAGAAAAAATATACTATTAAATTTTAGAATTGAAATATATGACCAATATATCAATATTATCAAAACAGAAAAAAATAAGATTTTATTAAATGATTTGAATAATGATATATTAAAAAATAAAATCTTGACGCATGAACAAATTCAAGATATATCTAGAAAAAATAACTAAAATAAATGAAAATAACAAAATATATGATGAGATCAAGACAGATATTGATAGTTTTTTGATTCCTAAAAATTTAGATGATTTTATCAAAGAAAATATTGATACCTTTGATGAAGAATATCTATCTGGCAATAGAAATAAATTATCATTAAACAAGTATTATATAGAAAAATGAGAAAAATTAATTAAAGAATTAACAGAAAGAGAAAATAAATTTTATATAGAAATAATAGTAGCTATAGAAAAATATAAAGAATCAAATCTATTAATGGATAAATATTACAATAGCATTTATCGTAATATCGAAGAATTGAATGAAGATTATCTCAAAGAAACAAATAGTAAATATATTTTACATGAAATGAGAGAGAACAGAAGAAAGGTATTGGAATTTGAACAAGAAAATATATAAATATCTTATTTGTATCATTATTCATAAATAAAAAATAATATATAAAAAAAGTGAATGGAAAAATTTTTTTAAAGAAAATAATATTCTAAATGATAATAGAGGTAAATAGTTATTTTCTGGTTTAACCATTGAAGAATGTAAAATTGCAATAAACAATAGATGGAATGAATTTCAAATCATAAATAAATGTGTAGAATATTGTGATTTTAGAAAAATAAATATTTTAGAAGTTAAAAAATCTGAATTAGATTCATCATTAGATATCAGTGATGGTAAATGACCTAAAATGACCTTCATGACTCAAATGAATAGTGACTAGTCATTTGTCATTTCAAGACCTTAAATGACTTAGAAGGTCATTTAATATTTGTTAACTAATAATCTAATACATTTTAGCCAATCAAAATTGTTTATTAAAAAATTAAAATTTTACATATAATGATAAATACAAAAATAACACATGTGCATTATCTCAAAACTTACAATGATATTTAAAATAACACCCGTTTGAGAATTTGTAATATATTTTGCATTTTATATTTTTAAAAAATATATATTTCGCTCTTCTAAACATTATTTTAAAACATACTTTTATATTTTATTTATATAACTAGAGACTGGACTTATGAAAACTCATAACTCGCGAGTTAAATTTTGAAGAGTTTTGAATTAACTCGAATCATATGTTCGAGATATTTTTTCGAATCGAAGTTCGAGTAATTCGAGTCAATTAAATTAAAAAT